TATATATATATATAATATAAATCATCAAAGGTAGATATACAGTGTTTAATAAGGACATGATGGAACATCGTAGGCTGCCCTGTAGCTTTTCAACGAATAAAGTCCTATGAAAAATTATTGTGTAATAAAATTCCTCCGACGGGATTCGAACCCGCGACCTCTCGCTGACAAGGCGAGCGTCATAACCACTAGACCACGAAGGCTTCATGGTTGAACAGGTCCAAATACCCGTCGGGAACATTGTATTACACAACGCTTTGCCTCAAGAGGGCGTTCGGCCAGATAAATCTGGAAATACGGCTAGAAATACTGTCGTATATTATATATGATATTGAAGGAAGTTAGCCGTTAACACTGTTGAATAAATATAATATAAATCATCAAAGATACATATACAGTTTTTAATAAGGACATGATGGAACATCGTAGGCTACCCTGTAGATTTTCAACGAATAAAGTCCTATAAAAAATCATTGTGTAATAAAATCCGACGGGATTTGAACCTGCGACCTCTCGCTGACAAGGCGAGCGTCATGACCACTAGAACACGAAGGCTTCATGGTTGAACAGGTCCAAATACTCGTCGGGAACATTGTATTACACAATGCTATGCCTCAAGAGGGCGTTCGACCAGATAAATCTGAAAATACGACTTTATTCGTTGAAAAGCTACAGGGTAGGCTACGATGTTCCATCATGTCCTTATTAAACACTGTATATGTACCTTTGATGATTTATATTATATTTATTCAACAGTGTTAACGGCTAACTTCCTTCAATATCATATATAATATACGACAGTATTTCTAGCCGTATTTCCAGATTTATCTGGGTGTTTTATCAAGGGTGTTTATTTTTGCAATCAACACCCTTGGTTCTTTATTATTGTAGATACTCAGTATACATAGATAAATAGGCCAATCATTTTACAGTTTTATAAGTATCTCTTATTTGCTCTCTGTCACATTTATTTCTGATAAGACGGCCTATATAATAACGATTCATGATGTTTTCCATTATTCTCGCTGATGAAAACCACAGCAGGAGTGGCAGAAATATCCGAGTTTCTAATAAATCAGTGTTCTTAAAGTCTACTATTTAAGTTGTTTCATTTTTTTCTATATTCTGTCGGAAGACACGTGGAACACAAATGATATATACACCTTTCGAACAGAATGATGGGAATGCCTATATAAACCAATAAAGTCAAAGAGGACTTATTTCCAACGGAGTCTAAAAAAACATCACCTAATAGACAAGTGAATATAAAAAAGGTCATACAAATTTTAAGAAATGGAATTGAAAAAAAGTTAATACATCAAAAGTCAAAGCTAAAAGTACAAAGTACAAAACCTGGGTATTTTCTCTATCGAAGGCTCTTGCTTTAATGTATTTCTTAATTATAATCTTAAATCAAGTGAGGGAAACATTTTTATATCTTTTGGGAAGGCATTCCAGTTTTGAATCGCTTGATACAAAAAGGTATTATGAGCATCACCAGTAGGACTGTCTCTTATACACATCTAGATGTGTATAAGAGACAGGGCTCAAAGGTCAGGTCACAATTAACGAAAAAATATTTTTTTTTATAAATTTATTTGTCTACAGCCCATAGTTTTAATTACAAAGTAGTCAAACTTGGTCACAATGTTCCGTGACCAAAGATCTGTAATTATATATACATATTACTAAAATAGTAAGTTAGCATAAGCCTCACTTGTTGTACAGAGTTATATCAGGTTTCCAAATATTGTTTACAGGAATAAACACACAGTCAACATCATATTCAAATTGATCCCAGCTAATACGTTCGTCCTGCCATCTCTTTAATTTAGAAAATGAAAATTAAATGGTCATGTGAATATTAAAATGTTTTTTTTTAAATTGCATGTTATAACGTTAACGTTTTTATCAATTAATTATAGAATTACGCAATCGGTCTTCTTCTTCTTTGGTGACTGCTAGTATTGTTGACACATTTGAGGTTGGTTTGCAGCTAGCCTGCTAAGTCACTCACTCACAAAATCTCCATATTTTTTTTTAAGTAAAGTTTTTTAAAAATAAATGAATAAATAGAAATAAATGAAACGAATATAAACAAAATAAAAATAATCCAAAAAATCCCAGAAGAAATTTAATATGAATTAGAAAGCAACAAAACCAAAACACTGTATGGTCGTGCTGTAAGAATCAAGTTTCAGAATCTTCTTAATGTTGAAGGCGTCAACTCAACTGAAGAAGAATTTAACGTTTGAATCGATTATAAGGGGCTTTCATTGTCAACTATTGTGGTTCTCAGTAATAAAAATTGAACTCAAAATGTGCCATGTGTTGACGTACAAAAGGAGTATTTGAAGTAGCAAAAACAGTATACACACAGGGTTGGTGCCAGGATTTGCCCGACAGAGGGTTTAATGACCCCAACGGGGGAGGGCGATGTCCACGACGAAAAAAGTGTGCGTGGTCGGGCGTCACACAAAATCATTCCAAAAAATTAAAGGGGTTGTGAGGTGAAGTCTCCGGAAAATGACAATTTAGAGGTTTTAAAGGCTTATTGAATCGATTTTAGAGTCTATTAATATATAGAAAATACAATTATTTTTCCCCTGACGAATTGTGGTTTTTCGTTCCTACGGGGGAAGGGGAAACTTTCCCCGACGGGGATCCTACCCCCCTTCCCACCCCACCCACTAGCGCCACCCCAGTATACACATTGCGAATCACATAAACATGAGAGAATGATATTAGTTTACGAAATCACGTGTACATAAATATCAGTCTAGTCTTACCATTAGAAACCAGCCAGAAACTTTCAGTTGTTGAAGTACATCATTCTGAAATTGATAATATGATTGGTTTATCAGTAAATGCAATTTACAGATCATTTTGTATGAAGACTTGTCGTTACAAATGATTGAGATGAAGGCATAAATTGTATGTTACGCAGGCATCTTCAACAAAAAACCAGTTCATGCAATTTCTTTCAATGTAATTACCTCCGCCAACGAAGTTGACATAAGGTTATGTTTGTTGCTCTTGTTTATTTAGTTATTCAGTCTGTGTGTCATCAGATTTGTCGTGAAGAGCCTTTACCTGAGATCTAGAACTGATTAAATTTTAAAGGGTCAGGCTCAAAGGTCAGGTCACAATTAACGAAAAAATATTTTTTTTTATAAATTTATTTGTCTACAGCCCATAGTTTTAATTACAAAGTAGTCAAACTTGGTCACAATGTTCCGTGACCAAAGATCTCAAAGTATTTGAATGTTGAAGTGTAAGGGTGAAAGGTCAAGGTCACAATCAACGAAAATGATTTTTTTAAACACTTTTTATTAGTAATTTGTCAAACTTGGCCACAATGTTCTTTTACCAAAGATCTCAGTCATTATAGAGAGTAGCCTTCAAATCATTAATACAAATAAAAAAAGAAGGGTACTAACTGTCTCTTATACACATCTTATGTATGTATGTATATATTCTATTTAATTAAAACTTACCAGCTCAATAATTTGAGTTAACATGAAAGTTACCGTTACATTGACTACTGAAGCAGGATCAAGTACAGATCGACATGTCCGTGGGCCAAGGCTGCTTAAAATCTTTTCTGTTACCAGAGTCTCATTGGTTTCTAAAACGGCGACTCCGTTTACTATTACAGAAACAAATGATTTTGATAAGATGATTATTGTGATTTCCATTATTCAGTAACCTTTGCGAGCAGGGACGCATTACATGATGAAAATATAGTGTGGATTGTTGTTTTCTTGTCAGAATATTGGACAATAAATGAACAAGTGTAAAACATTCTCTGGATATGTAGTATAAAAAGATCAAAGTGATAGGCTAGTTTGATACGGACGTTAAACTCCGGTATTCAACCGCAGGCTTTTGGAGAAGAGTTCGATCCGGCCCACGACATTACTTAAAAAAAAAAAAAAAAAAAAAAAACATGAGAAAGACCTATTATTTATTGAGAATGTGAGTAGTTTTACTAAATCAGCTAAAAAATCTCAAAATGACTTATCCATGAGCAAATTTGCTTGAATTAAACTTAGAACTTTGTAATTTTAAGAAAAGTAGATTTCGAGTAAAAGTAGTGGCGTGTATTGAATTGAATTGAAATGAATTTACTCGACATCATTAAAAAAAAAAACATTACAAACATCAAACATTAAAAACATCAATTTAGCAATTTAGATAGATAAAGTGACCCGAAGCCAGAAAATTAAAATAGAATTAAAATATAATCATTAGTAAAGTCAAAAATTTGTATTATTTTATCGTTTTTTTTTATATACACCTTTCGAACAGAATGATGGGAATGCCTATATAAACCAATAAAGTCAAAGAGGACTTATTTCCAACGGAGTCTAAAAAAACATCACCTAATAGACAAGTGAATATAAAAAAGGTCATACAAATTTTAAGAAATGGAATTGAAAAAAAGTTAATACATCAAAAGTCAAAGCTAAAAGTACAAAGTACAAAACCTGGGTATTTTCTCTATCGAAGGCTCTTGCTTTAATGTATTTCTTAATTATAATCTTAAATCAAGTGAGGGAAACATTTTTATATCTTTTGGGAAGGCATTCCAGTTTTGAATCGCTTGATACAAAAAGGTATTATGAGCATCACCAGTAGGAACTCTGAAATTATTGTTGTTTTTTCTGCTAGTATTAGGGAATAACTATTCTTGATTAATTTATGAAAACAAAAATCTGCAATATTGGTCGAGGGGCTGGTCACATTGAAAAACTTAAAAGCGTGACACAACCTCAAGTATTCAATTCCATCTTTAACAGTTAGTAATCCAACATTGGAACGTTCGGATGGTTTATAACATAATATGTCTTGAAAACCAAGGTTCAAAATATAACGAATGATTTTGTTCTGTGAGGTCTAAAGCTTCTTTGTAGCTCAGAAGACACACCAGTCAACCAAGCAGAAGATGAACAGTCGAATAAAGGTTGAATAAGACCGAAGCAAAGTATCCTGCTCCCATGTCGATTTAGACATAATGCGCGCACCTATATAAACACTTTAAACGTATATTTGTTTTGTGAATGACACTCCTTTCACTTATATTACTTCCAAATATCTTATTTTTATCTTATTTCTTTCTTTTTGTTCCGAAAATTATATACTCTGTCTTGCCAATATGTAATGAAAGCCTATTGTCAATATACCATTTACTACATGATTAAAGGTCATTATTAAGTTTTTGTTTAATTATTAAAAAGACGACGCCAACAATGATTATGTTCCCACACATTTTAAATTAAAAATGATGTCCTTTTTCCTTCTGAAAGTAAAGACTCCACAATAATTCATTTTCTTCCACCAGGTCAGGTGTAAGTGTATCCTGGGCCCTAGGCTACATGTTAAATGCAACGAACATGATCCCAGCTGAGGCGCCGGAAACTGACACTCTGGTCCCTTCACCGGCTTTCAGAATGGGAGAAAGTAATTGAACTATCGTCAGCATACAGATATAATTTACAGTCATTATAGAGAGTAGCCTTCAAATCATTAATACAAATAAAAAAAAGAAACTATCGTCAGCATACAGATATAATTTACAGTCATTATAGAGAGTAGCCTTCAAATCATTAATACAAATAAAAAAAGAAGGGTACTAATAAGCTACCTATTGGGACGCCACATGCAACATGCAGTTTATTTGATGTGACACCATTTATTTCAACCATTTGTTTTCTTCCTGACAACTAATTGTTAAACCATTTGATGGATTCAAAGCCAATTTTATTTAATTTACTATTAAAAAAAAAATGTCAAAATTAACACAATCGAATGCTTTTTCACATAAATCAGAAGCATACCTGTAAACGTTTGTAAAATAACAATTACAATTGTTAGAAATTAATTTAGCATCATTACAAATTCAGTACGACATCTGGGAGAATCCAATACTTTGTTATCACTGCTCCTTAGCGATCTTGTATGTCTTTCACACTTATATGCAGGCAACATGTTTCTAAATCTAGTAGAGTCTAGAAGGCTCTTAAGGGTTTTTCACAATTATCAACATTTTCACAAGTGTACAAAGAGTACACTTTTTCATGACCCCTCCCCCCCAAAAAAAAAAAGTGTACAAGAAAAATGTTGATTCTTTTTGGCATCTAATAATACAGAATTCGAAACAGCCAGTTCAATAAATAAGTAAATTCAATACAAGACACATTAAATTGTACTATGTGTAAAACAATACATTTATTTATCTCTACAGTGGCTCTCATGGTAGCGGCTTATTTTAGCCTTAATGAGGGTCTCCCGACCATCAATGTGTTATGATTTAATTACAGTATACACAATATTTGTTTGTCATATATATATATCATACAGGAATTTCTTTTTAATCTGGTTGATTTGACATGGAATGACCCTACAATAGGTCAAAGGTCAGAATGTACCGTTTCCGGTCACTATTTGAATATTTTTTTCATTAGGACGAATCTTCTGAACAAGTTGCAATCAATTGTGAGTCTCTATGACCAGTAGTTACTGAGATATGTCATTACAAGATCAAAGTCAAACTTTCAAAAACCGCATTTCCCGCCATTTTTTGATAAAAAGTTGTATTACAACAAATAGGAACATGCATATTGTGAACAATTTGAGACCAAAATCAAGTCTGGTTATCGAGATACAAGCGTCCAAATCAACAGGCGGCCATTTTGAAAAACGCCCCGAAACGGGACTTTCCCCCAATATCTGGGAGGTATATAGGAGCTATATTTTATATAAATTGGTCCATCTTGCCAAATCCATCGAGAAACAAAGGTATCCTAAAATTAGTCACGGATCTCATGAAAATGACTCTACTAAATAGTAGGCGAGTTGCTTAAAGCTAAATTTAACTTGGCAGATACCACGCAGATTGAACGGGCGCATCGTGTAGGCCCTCACAGGATGAATGGGAAGCCGAGACAAGTAATAGTCAAGATGCGTTCTTTTCAACATAAGCTTGATATAATGAGACGAGGACGGGCAGTTTTAAAAAGTGAATCAATTCACATATCCGATGATTTAACAAGAATTGATATAGAAAAAAGGAAATGGATAAGTGAGGTCAAAAAATTGTATGAACAGAAATACTATCTTCGTTTTGCTGCTGGTAAATGGAGGGACAGAAATGGTAAACCATTTGCTTTTAAATGAAAGGAATGTCTTCTTTTGTGCTACAGTGGTAAATTGCGCATTTTTTTAATAAGATTATGACAGCATTGTTAAAATGATTTATCCTAAATATGAAAGTTTATTTTGGTCTCAGATTTGCAGACTGCAAGAAGCCTTTGTATAACAGTGGTATTTGTCTAACATCTCTTTGCATTATATTTATAACTGTTTAAATTTTGTGAGAAAGAAATTTCTTTAATTGGTTGTGTTAAAATAGTAAATAGCACTCGTTTTTTGAACAAGATCATGACAATGTGGTTAAAATGATTTATTTAATATAGGAAAGTCAACATTAGTTTTTGGTTTGTAGACTGAAAGAAGCTTATGCATAACAATGGTATTTGTCTAATACCCTCTTGTATATTCAGTCTTTTTGGAATAGTAGAATTGTGTGGTTTATCGAAGCTTGGGGGCCGACGCTCATCCAATTTACATTGATTTTTTTTCCCGCTGGGAGTTGTTCTCGAGTGTGACAATCGCTTGTATCAATCCGACGGCAATGTGCTTTTTGGCTTATTTAGTTTTTGGTTTCTTTTTTGTCTTTTTTTTTTCCTGGTTGTTCTGTTTTATGCTTAATATTGTGTAATATACCAAGTTTATAGTGTAAAAATGAGTTTAGGTAATTTTAAAATTGCATACATGAACTGCAGAGGAATAGGGGATCGTAAAAAAAGGAAAGATGTTTTTGATTTTTGGAAATCGAAAGGAAATGATATATTTTGTCTTCAGGACATACATGTCACAAAAGAAACTGTAAATATGTTTAAATCTGATTGGAATGGAGAATGCTAATCGGTCTCGGGGAGTGGCTATTTTATTAACTAAAAAGCTGGATGCTAAAATCCACGCAGCTCATAGTGATGATAAAGGTAACATTATTGGCATAAGTCTGACTGTTAAGGAGAAACAGTTTTCTATTCTTAATGTATATGGTCCAAATGAGGATAATCCTAATTTTTGTTTGTACTTGAGCGATATAATTACAAAATTTGATAATAAACTAAACATACTCTGTGGGGACTGGAATTTAGTTCTGGATCAAAATATGGATACTCAAAATTATGTGCGTTTAAATCACTCAAATTCCAAAAGGAAAATTATTGAATTTATTAAAAAATTAAATATTGTGGATGTATGGCGAGTGCTTAATTCAGGTACCCAAAGATTTACATGTAGAAAAAAAATCCAGTAAAACAGACAAGGCTCGACTTTTCTTTTTATTTCTTAGGAATTACTATCTATTACTGAAAATACAGAAATTGACGCTGGATATAGAACCGATCATTCACTTATAACATTGTCTTTAAACGTTTCTGAAACAAAAAAGGGCAAGGGATTCTGGAAATTCAACAATTCATTACTTTGAAATACAGACTATGTTAAATGTGTAAAAAATTCAATTAGGCAGACTAAAGAAAAATTTATGGCTTCTCCCTATAATTTTAAAATGCT